ACGTTAACTTTACTTATTCTTACTTCGTTACTTACTTACTACTACTACTACTACTAACTACCGTACTCTACTACTCTCTCTCTACTACTACTACTCTCTCTCTCTCTCTCTCTCTCTCTCTCTCTCTCTCTCTCTCTCTCTCTCTCTCTCTCTTTCTCTCTCTCACAACATACACGTACACACACACACACAATGTGATAACTTGCATTTGACATAGTTTATAATGTTGTTCATATGTTACTTGCATTTGGCAGCACAGGTCAAGGTTGTGTTACGTGCTGATGTTTCAAGTGGGTCATATGAGAAGGTTGCTGTGATTTCAGGTACCGAAATTGATGCCACACTAAAATGTGATAAAATTTTTTATTGTTAATATGTATTTTATCCGTAGAATTTTCATGGTACTGCATTGTACAATGCCATTTCTCTTAATTATTATTTTTCGGGAAATATACAAATTACTTATCTTGGCATTGAAATATATTTAGTTTGACATAGAAATGCAGGCCCCTGCAATATTTTTTTTTGCCAAACAAACTTTGATAAAAAAATTAGAAAACATAATGATTTTGGGAGAAATGAACAATGGTCTGAATCATGATTCCTCCTCAGAATACTAATGCAAGTCAATGACTTGTCTTCTTCACCAGCATTAGCAATTGTATCAGCTATCCAGCTTGCCTACGTGTACCTGTAGCACTTTATATTGTGATGTGTCTCCTCATAATTCAGAATATGACAAACAAGGTCAGCTAATCTCAAGGGCTAACTTTTTCTAATGAAAAAAAAAAAATGTCTAGAATGCTAGCTCGAGTAATTATGAGGCAAAGGAAATGTTTCATATGACCAACATCTTGCTCTTCAAAGTCATCTTGTCTGTCTTACTTCGCACTTGCAGCCACAACACCAGTCTGTCTTGCATTTTTAAAGAAACTATTTCATTTATTACCACTCCTTTAATGCTGGATGACCCATGCTCACCCTTTCTTTGAACATCAAGTTTAAGCTACATGCATCCAGTGTAATGGAGAGCGGCAATCAGGCCCTCACAGAGGAATGGACCACTCCCAAAATTCCTCTTTATCCAAACTCGATCGCTACCTTATTTGCCCTTCTTGGGATGTCACTTTCCCTAGAACCCATTCGGTTGCTCTCCCCAAACCTACTTCGGATCACATGCCCATTCTGTTAGACACCAACCCTATCTAGAGGGGCCCCAAGCCCTTCTGTTTCGAGCTCATCTGGTTGGAGGAACCAGAACTCCAATCTCTTCTCCCCACTTGGTGGAATTCCTTCGCCCCTAGAGCCCATGGTTGGGTGGGTTTCCACCTCCAGAGGAAGCTATAGCTCCTCAGACCCTCCGTTAAAGCTTGGAGCTGCAATATTCCTGGCAACTTTTGAGCCCAATAATCTGCAGTCCTTCAATCCATCCAGAACCTTGAACTTATCGAGGAAAATAGAAACCTAACACCCAATGAGCTCAGGGAGTCTAAACTCAAGCTTGTACTTTAATCTATTCTCCGTGAAGAAGAAATTTATTGGTTCCAGCGTTCCAGGATCAAATGGCTGAAGCTTGGGGACCACGACACGGCATTTTTTCATATAACTGCGAACTGCCGCAGAAGAGATAACATCATATCCCAAATTAGATATGGTAACTCTACTCTTGAAGAACCTCACATAGTGGAGGTTGCAATCTTGGATTTTCTCCAGAGGCTTTTTAAAACCCCAGATGGTCCCGAACCTAGGATGATGGACCTCTCATTCTTATCCTTGCCACCTGGTAAAGCAGAGTGGCTAGAACGTCCCTTTTCTGAACCTTTTGCCAAGGCCATTTCAAACTTGGTCCAAGACTGTGCGCCCAAGCTCCGATAGCTTCCCTGTGGTGCTCTTCAAACAGTTCTGGGACACTCTATGCCCTGACCTCACCTCTTTCTTTCAAGAGTTTCATGAGAGAGGAATTATCAATAAGGCCGTTGATGCCTCCTTTATTGTTCTAATCCCAAAAATAGAGGGCGCCGATGAACACAAGAACTTTAGGCCCATCGGCCTCATCAACAGTTTGTATGATATCCTTTCAAAGGTGTTGGCGACCAGAATAAGGGACGTTCTGAATTTTGTCATATCCAAAATCCAAGAGACCTTTGTCAAAGACATGCAAATCTTGGATGGGGCCTTGGTTGCCCATGAGTGCATTAACTCATGCCACATACCCAAACTACCAGGCTTAGCTATCACACTAGATTGGGAAAAGGCCTACGATCACGTGGATTGGACCTTGTTCGATGATACTCTAAGAAGGATGGGGTTCGGGTCTAGGTGGAGGCTGTGGATGAGGGGGTGCATTTCCATAGGACTCGGTCCGTATTAACGGTTCTCCGAAATGTTTCTTCCTTGCTTCCATAGGACTCAGGAAAGGGGATCCCCTCACGCCTTTTCTTTTTGCCATAGTTTCTGAGGTCTTTAGCATATCTTTGTCCAGAATGTATAGCCACAGTCTCATGATCGGTTTCACTGCAGGGAGGAGGAGGGGGGGTTGGGGTGGGGGGTGTCTGAGGTCTCCCATCTCCAATATGCCAATGATACCTTGGTGTTTTGCGATGCCACCGATTGGCAGGTAAACACTCTTCTTCTCTTCCTAAAGGGTTCCAACTTGCCATGGGGTTCAAGGTACATGGACAAAACCAAGATGATAGGTATATCCATTGACTGCTCTTCCATAACCTCCTTTGGCGATACGTAGGGTTGCAAGATTGAGCCCCTGCCTTCTTACATGGGCCTTCCCCTTTGTTTAGGCAAACCTAAAAAGTGCCTTTGGAGCCATCTCATCGATAAGTTTGACCACAAATTCGTAGGCTGGAAAGGTTGTTTCCTTTCTTCAGCAGGGCGACACTGATCAAGGCCACCTTGTCCAATGTACCCATCTGCCAAATGTCCCTCTTTCAAATACCAACCTCCAGCCTGCATAGAACAACTGATGTGAAATTTCATATAGTCAGGTGAAGAAAACTCCAAAAAAGTCCATTTGGTGGCATGGGACAAAGTGTGTAGGCCCAAACCCTTGGGGGTCTGGGCATCCTTAGACTTAGATGGTGCAATCTCGTTCTCCTAGGGAAATGGTGGTGGCGCCTATTCACCCTGGAAGGCCACTTGTGGCAGGAGGTTCTGCGCAACAAATACTCCATCGACCCTTGGCTCCCCCAGCGCCAGGCCAATATCCAATCCTTGGGTTTTTGGTGAACCCTGGTCCACTGCTACAACATCTTCAAGTCCCACTTAAGGTCTCAGCCTAGAAGTGGTAATCATACGTTGTTCTGGTCCTTTTGGATGGACCTTTGGTATGGTCACATCCACCCAGAGACAGATTCCCTACTCTCTATCGGGTGGCTAGCAATCAGTTGGCCTCGATCCTCGACCACTTCCCCATTTCGTCCCACCACAGAATCTGGCCTTTATCTTTCTGAAGACCGTTGCAAGACCGCGAGATGGATACTTTCCTCCTTCTGGAGGGCCTCATGCACTCGGTGTTCCTGCCTTGCTCAAGGGAAGATAGGCTTATTTGGACATAGTGTGCCTTTGGCAAATTCTCAGTATCTACCTTCTATCTCTCCCCCCTTTACCCTCCCCCCTATTCCCCTGCCACTCCCCCCTTATATCAGCCAAGGTGTGGTACCCCTTCGCTCCTCCTAAGCTACAAATCTTCAACTGGCTGGCCTCACTTGTAAAGGTGTTGACAGTGGATCACCTGTCAGGGAAGAGGTATGTCTCGCCCCAATCGATGCATCATGTGCCTTAGCGAAGAGGAAACAAGCGCCCACCTTTTTCTCCACTGCAAACGGGCTACTGCGTTTTGGGGAGCCACTTTACAGCTTTTTGGGCTACCCCATCCTCCCTCCCTTGCCTCTTCAACATGCTTTAGTTTCTGCCGTGACCTAAGGCAGGCATCTTGCTATGGAAGGCCACCATATCTGCTACCCTTTGGGTAATATGGACCGAGCGTAATTGTGGCACTTTCAGAGGAACTAGAGCCACCTCGGGAGCGCTAAGGAGCGCATTAGATCCTTAGTGACCTTCTGGGCAAGAAACCACAAACGGTTCAAGTACTTTTCATCGGTGGATTTTTAGCTAAATTGGCAGATGCTGTGCCATCTTACCACACCCAGGGTGAGTCGTGCTGTTAGATGGCAGGCACCTGAACCAGGCCCACTTAAGCTTAATTTCGATGGTTCCTCCCTTGGCAACCCTGGGCCAGCTGGAATAGGGGCATATTCAGAGAGTTGTGCTGTTAGATGGCAGGCACACCCAGGGTGAGTCATGCTGTTACATGGCAGGCACCTGAACCAGGCCAACTTAAGCTTAATTTCGATGGTTCCTCCCTTGGCAACCCTAGACCAGCTGGAATAGGGAGCATATTCAGAGACCATGCGGGCAATTCTTTCCTTTCCTTCTCTAAATGGATTGGCGTTTCTGATAGCACCACTGCAGAAGCTTTGGCTTTGCTCGAGGGATTAAGGGCATTCAATCCCAGCTGGTGCAATGCCCTCTTAGTCGAGGGGGATTCTAAAAGTGTCATCTCTTGGGCCTTGGGAAAGGGCAGCCCACCCATGGAGACTAGCCCATATCTTCGATGAGATTTTTGAGATTAGCAGGTCAATCACAACTTCGTGGGCCCTTGTCTGGCATGAGGCCAATTCCCTAGCTGATGGCCTGGCTAAGGAAGGTGCATCCAGTCCTAATGTAGTGGACCCACCTGATTTAGGGTCTCACTCGGTTTCCACCTTCATTCTTTTGGGAGCCATGGATGTACGAAATTTTCGCGTATCCCTCAATCTTGGGGAGAATTTTTGTATAGGGCTCCCCTGTGTTGGAGAACATTTTTGTACTTGTACATTTTTATTTTATTAAAGTTAACCTTCTCTCAAAAAACTACAAACATAAGTGCTACAGAAGGTCCTTAGACCAATTCACCATGATGGACTTCTTGCTCACCACAGTATATATATAAAAAAAGACTTCCTAGAGAACTTACCTCTATCAGCCTACTCTCAAGACTATGCAGTGAATCTAATATATCTAAGTAGCTACAGTGGAAATGCCTGTGTAGATTACCTTGTTATATTGACTTTGGGAGTGCCTTGAAGTTGTGGCATTACATTATTTGATATATTTGAGCTGTTTCACGTTATATGAGTTACATTTGGTGATCCAAAATTAGTTCTTACTGAACATTTCTCTGAACTGATTGGTTATGGATATCCACTTACTGTATGCGATCAATATGATTTGGTGAATAATTATTGTTCAAAAAATTGGTACATATTTACTTTCATATTCATGTGCAAAGTTTTTTCTAGCTCTCTTTGTTGATTTGGAGGCTTCCACAATGTTTATTTTTACGTGAACATTTGATGATTTCGTGATGATTGTGTCTTTATCTGCTTCTCATGCAGGGGGTGGAAGTGGCCATGAGCCAGCTCATGCTGGGTTTGTGGGGCCAGGAATGCTGACAGCAGCTATTTGTGGCAACGTTTTCACCTCTCCTACGGTCAATTCTATATTAGCTGTATGGGATTTGGATATTTGATGCATGAATTAATGAAGCTGAAACACTAGCACCTCATAAAAAAGGAAAACAGGACTTCAATATTTGGGATTGATAAACTAATGTCATGTTTACTGGTTCAGGGGATTCGAGCTGTGACTGGTCCCAAGGGATGTCTTCTGATAGTAAAGGTATGCTTGAGTACTCTGTGGTGTGATAACCCAGAAGGACATTTTCTAAATCTAGTGTCATAGAGACTGACAGAAAGGGCTTTTTTTCAATCTAGTGTCATAGAGGCTGGCAGTAAAAACTTGTGGATTTTACTTGAGGGGAAGTTTGTCCTATTTTCCCTGGAAAACCTTTTCTCTATGTTGATACCTGAGGCATAGAACAAGCATGCATTAGTGTACATGGTACCGAGGGAACTTGTTTGTAGGTGTGAAACATGTATCCCCAAAGGCACACATTGGAACAATTATTATCCCTGTTCCATAAGTTTGTCATCTGTGGTATTCATAGCCTTTGTGTAGGTCCTTTGATCTCTGTCCTTTCTTTTTTTTTTGTGTTTTTTTCTCCACTGACTTCTCCAGATTTCCAAGCCATCCATTCATTATTGTTGTTCTTTAGTTTCTTTTTATTATTCTTATAGTCTGTTCCATGAATAATTTTCTTTTCGTAACTTGTTTCCTATATCCACACCGCAAATTGTTGTCCAAAAAGGTTCTTCTTCTGGAAACTATGGTACATCCCCACCAAGGTCACCATTCTGACTTCTCATTGCTCTTGATGTGATGACCATATCAATGTTGGATGTATAGTAATTTGACTTCTCGGCGAAGTAAAAGTTACGAAACTTGGCATTCTTCACTTGGAATGCCTTCTTTGCCGAAATGAATAGATGAATCATTATTGTTGTATATTGGCCATAATTTTTTAATTTGCGTTTTGGCAGAATTATACAGGGGATCGATTAAACTTCGGTTTGGCAGCAGAGCAGGCAAAAGCAGAAGGATACAAAGTTGAGGTATATCCCGGGCGATGGCCTTTCGTTAATGCTATTAATATATAAAAGACCTATTAATGATGTTATCATTCTCAGTGAATCATAAATTTGATATTTGCAGACTGTTATTGTTGGGGATGATTGTGCTCTTCCACCTCCTCGTGGGGTGGCTGGACGCCGAGGTTTAGCAGGGACTATATTTGTCCACAAGGTGTGTTGGATTGCGCTCTTCCTTTATCTGGAGAAATAGTGTGATCTGATTACTGTAATGTGACATCCTTTCTAGGATATGAAGTATTAATGCATCTCTAGGTATTTGTGACTGACTGTGTTTGTAATCATTATTAATGTTTTTGGCCTTCATGATTCTTGAGTATCCAGGACTAGCTCTTTTTGAAAATATTACTACTTTTTTGGTTAGTTTATTATGCATTGTGCATGAGTCCTCTTTATCATTAATTTAAATGACTCTGGCCCAATTTCATGGAAGATTCTCTTGTCATATGTAAATGTTACCTGCTACGAAGAATATCTTTGCATGTATTGAAGGTTTGAAATATTGCATTTTAGCAGCCCACTTTAGAGGTGCTGCCAAATGTGTGGAACAGTTTGGTTTGATTATTGAACATCTCTGTGAGATATTTGGAATTCTACAGATAGATTAGTCCAAGAAATCACATAACTGTTATTGAACATGAATTAGCATTACATTTCAGCTGAAAATACATTACTGAGATGTATCTAATGTGTTAGAATTTTACCAGTAAATGAGCACATATGGATGGCCTTGGGGATATGGTTTATAAAACACATTTCTTTCTTTGTAGAGACCATTGTAGTGTGTTCTTTTTTTTTTTATAGCAATTGATCGAATTGCTGGTTGATGTAAAATTATAGTACCTTTATGTGCAATGTTCATGAGTGCTTCATAAATACTCATGCTTGAAAAATAGATGTTAAGAATGATGTGTAGGAGGGCAAATCCTACTGAGTGCATGATAGTTACAGGGTAGAAATTCTGGGTATTTAATGAAGAATCTTGATATATTGATTAGTTTTTTTGCCATTTTCTATTGTTGGTTGGTTGGGTTCAAACCCGCGATTGCAAGCTTGTGATAAGAAGCTCCTTCCTGTTTGGCCATGTATTAGGATGCCTTTGTCTAATTTTTTAGCATAGATATTTTAGCTTCTAATAAAGTGAGGTTCCTAAGTAAGAATATGTATCGAGTGTTTATGATGCTATCCGTAGTGTTTTTTTTTTTTCAAATTACAGCAGACACCTTGTTAGAGCGCACTTTATTCTCATAAACATTTTCAATTTTTGATTGTGACCTTGCAATTCTTTAGGAAAGCCTGATATGAAATGCATCATTACCTTAATACGTTCTTTGTTAAGAGGTATTTTGGTCAGTTTTCGTACCCATGCGCACACACATAAGGGATGAATTTCAAATTTCATATTCTTACACTACAAGGATGGATTTTACTCATTTTGCTAAAGGTAATAATATATATATTGTATTAACACTAGAATGAGAAGGTATGCCAATCCATACCCTTGGGGCTTGAAATAATAAGTTAATGAGACAGAAGAGAAACAAATAGCACACAATTCCCATGTCACTAGATATCCACATTATATCTCTATGGAAGAAGTTGCCTTCTGGTGGGTATTGTGCAGTGTCCTCAAATTTTTTAAACTTTCTTGCCTGAGTGCATGAGTTATTAGCTGCATATGTTTTTTTTTACTGTAATGGCAAGTTGTCCTATAATGCACATAGATAAGAGTGCCTGTGTTTTGTAGATCTGTTTCATTAGTCATGATGTACTATTCTTGCATTTCTATTAGTTGATCTTGTTGTATTATTTGTCTTGATGTATTATACTTGCTTTTTGCAATTGACAGATTGCTGGAGCTGCTGCTGATGCTGGGCTTTCCCTTGTTGAAGTTGCGGCAGAAGCCAAGCGTGCATCTGAAATGGTGGGAACAGTGGGAGTAGCTCTCTCTCTTTGTACTTTGCCAGGTCAGGTCACATCTGATCGTTTGGGTCCAGGAAAGATGGAGCTTGGTCTTGGAATTGTAAGTCAATAGTTGTAGCTCATAATATATTTAGATTCATTAGCAATGCTAATAGAGAATGTCGATCTATTAGAGTTCCTCGATTCAGCTAAGGTAATTTCTTTGAGTAAACAGAAGAGGGTGAAGGTACATCTGTTGTTATAGTATACTCTTTGCATGTACATTCATGTTAGTTGCTTCCTTTGGTCGTAGTTATGCATGTTGTTGTCATGGCTTTCAATTCATTTATCCATGTTTTACCTGCTATTATCCCTTGCCTCTATCTAATGTGCGGGCGGCATAGATGACATTATTTTTTTTTTTTACCACTACTAACTCTTGATTCCTTCTTTTGCAAATCATTGGATAATTGTCATTCACAATTTCAGCATGGAGAGCCTGGAGCAGCTGTTATTGATCTTCAACCAGTGGATGTGGTCGTATCACTTGTTCTCAAGCAGATATTGTCAACGGTCTGTTCTTCCACGTTCACTTGTGATGTATTCTTTTTTTATTCAAATAGTAACTTATTTTACTTCATTGCATGAATTGTATCAAAACAGAGACAGACCATACCAAAATTAATTATGATCAATCAAACTTCATCTAGAGATGTGGGGTTTTTGATGATTATGAAATATCATTGCATGCATTTTCTATGCTTAGTATGCTGATGCATAAGTACAGACTCCAAAAGAAAAAAAGAAAAAGAAAAGAAGAAAGTATTATGTGTCGTTGTCCTCTTCCCCATTACGACAGTCCAGTGAGTGTATGTTCTCAATTTCATTACTTAAGATTTGCCTATTCCTTTTTATTGAAAAAATAATAATAGAAAATGATGAAAATAGTTCAATAACAATTTGCATTCCTTTATAATAGGAAAATGCTAGATGCATGCTTTGAGGCTAGATGAGATTGGTCTCTCTGCCAAAAAAAAAAAATTGATAGAAATGCAGCTAAAGAGTATGTTTCTCATTGTTTATGTATAAAACTAGGAACTTGGCATGAGTAACTGGACATGTGGTTAGTTCGGTTATTTGTGAAATTTGGTCTTTTGCACACCTGGTTAAAGGCATACCCAGATGGATACTGAATAGATTTTGAGTGCTCTGCGATTAGTTTTGTGAATTGTAAATCGAAATTAATTAAGTAATTAGTGCAACAGAGTTACTTAACCTATAAATTAAATCATTATAATGATTGGTAATCAGTAAGCCACTCATATTAAGTTGATTTCCCGAATCAGCTAAAGTAAATGATATGAATATGGTTGAGTCTGTCTCTCATTGTTTATTTATAATACTAAGAGCTTAGCACGAGTAACAAGGCATATGGTGAGTTCAGTTGTTTGTGCAAATTGAACTCTTGCATATGATGGAAAACACCTGGTTAGAGACATACCCAGATGGATACTAAATAGATTCTGAGTGCTCTAATATTGGTTTTATGAATTGTAAAAACGAAATTAAATAACTGGCTAGTGCAGCAGAGTTACTTAATCTATAGATTAAATCATTATGATGATTTGTAAATAGCTGCGATGAGGCTCTTGAAATGGATGAGTGGCAAGACAAAAAGGGATAGAATTTGAAATGAATACATCCAAGAGAACTTAAGTGTGGCTCTAATAGGCGACAAAATGAGAGAAAGTAGATTTAGGGGGATTAGGCATGTGCAGTGCGGGCCTAGTACAACACTTGTTTGTGGGTGCGAGTTGGTTCAAGTAGAAGGCTCAGAAAGGCTAAGGGGTTAGCCCAAAAGGATATGATTGGAAGTAGCGAGAAAAGATATGGGGACTTATGGCCTCACCGAGGATATGTCCCTTAATAGAGCAGAATGGCGGGCAAGATTCTTGTAGCCGACCCCAAATAGTTGGGAAAAGGCCCTGATGACGATGATGATGATGATAATCAAGAAGCCACTCATATTAAGTTGATTTTCCGAATCAGCTAAAGGAAATGATATAAATATGGTTGACTCTGTCTCTCATTGTTTATTTGTAAAACTAAGAACTTAGCACGAGTAACTAGACATAGGGTGAGTTCAATTGTTTGTGCAAATTGAACTCTTGCCTGTGATAGAAAACACCTGGTTAGAGGCATACCTAGATGGAGTGCTCTGCGATTAGTTTCATGAATTGTAAAATTGAAATTAAATAACTGGTTATTGCAAACAATTTTTCTTGACTTATATATTAAATCATTATAATGATTTGTTATTAATAAGCCATTAATATCAAGTTGATTTCCCAAAACAGCTAAAGTAAATGGATGCAATAAAACCAAAAGCCATAACTCTAAGAAATAAATTGATCTGAAACGTACATTGTTAAAGGTAGCGCATGTAGCATGTATTCAGAATTCCATGTAAAATTAGACAGCGGTGCTGAATTGGTACGAGGGAAATAGTAAAGAATGAACTATACTAAGCAGAGAATATGCATGAATAGAGAAACAAAAGCATAAAAGAAACAAGAAATAAACAGAGAAAAAAAAATTAAATAAACAATGAAAACCGTCCTATTGATATTATATATATATTGTATTTAAACCCTTCTTAGGTTCCCCCCAAGCCTCTTTTCTCACATTGTAACTGTATATCATCCTTTCAAGACATTTGACTTGGTCCGGAGGTTTTTTATTTGAGAAAGTAGCTTGGTCCAGAGGTTTAAGCCAGTTTTTGGATATTTTTTTGTTATGTTCACCTCTAATGAAACGCTCCAGTTTGTAATACTTTTCATTAACCTAAAGTCATTTTCTCTCTCCCATTGAACACTTTTCAGATTGAATGAATTTCTCAATGAGTTTATTTTCATGTCATGCAAACAAATGAGTCGTAATACTATTCTTTGGACGTGTGGAGTTTATGAAGTGTTCTCACTTTATCAGGAGTATCACATTTAATTGGCCAACCTACTTTTAGTTTCCTATGTTTTTCATTTCGATCCATAAAATTCCCATATAGCTTAGGCATACAATTTTCAGCTTGCCTCTGTTTAGGCATATCTTTTTCTCAAGACTTTGTTGCATTGATTTGCAGGTCCTGCCCTGCCCAACAAGTTTGATTAAACTTGAGTTAAAATTTTGATTGAAGTTATAGAAGACTAAAACTTTTTCTGGTCTTGTATTCCTGTTAAGTTGTTATGACAATATTAAATGGGACCCACATGTTTTGTGGCTGGTATTTTAGATATCATTAACATATCAGATATAAAATTATGCACAAGATCCTTTTGTCCAAACGGCCAAACTGCCAATATGAAAAAGCTTTATGCTCATATACATTTGTTGAGGAAGATGTATTTGCTGAATGCTGTCTTTTGCTTTTAACATAAATGAAGATCAAATGATTTATTGATTTGAAGTACTCAAAATGGAATGTAGTCTGATAGGTATAATTTGTATCACACAATCTCAATGGCATCCTTATTCCATTACTTTCCCTTTTTTCATTTTCTTCTGCTTTGTATTTTGCAGGAAGCACACTATGTACCTATCACTCGTGGGAGTCGAGTTGTACTCATGATTAATGGGTTAGTCCTAACATTTTGAAGGCTTCTCCAGTGAATATTTGTTTAGATTTTCATTCAAGAGGATTACATGGACTGGTGAGAAGTGTTTTGTGTGCTTTGTTTCTTCACATGCATAACTAATGAGTGAATTTCTAATGAAATATCTGAATATGTTGCTCCCTTACAATGAGTTTTATGTATTCTATATTATTATGCAAGATATTACTAAAAGAAAATCTTATTTAATATTGTTTCACTAATATCCAAACAGGACAATGCCTCATCTTCTGCTTCAAACACATCCGGGTGTCTCTTTCTTGCTCCATTCATATATATGTCTGTCTGTCTTTAGTCTTTGTAGAACTTCGCATCCACATTTTCACAGCAATGGATGTTGGTTAATTATCAAGATATATAGAATACCATTTGGTTATACAATTGTGAAATTTTCTTGGAACAATCTCATTTATCCACTCAGTATTGAATTTTCCTTAAAAAATAGAGGATAGTATCTCAAGTGTGACAATTGTTTTAGAGAAATGTCACAATTGTATTGCAATTTGTTGGGTTGAAGACGGATGTCGTTATTAAATACCCCTCAAATCAATAAAGATTGAATGACTTGCAAGGTTTGATATGATTCTAATATATGCCCATGTTATCTATGTAAGTTTGGTGCTTGTTCACGGAGATTATAGAATTCTAAAAATAATTAATCACCATATCTCCTTCCCATGCATGACATTTTGATTTTACTTAAATGCTGATACTATGCCTGGGCTACTTGGTTTTTTATTTATGTAAAAACGGTATATTTGGTACTCGTTTCTAATTGTGTACAAACACAATCCAAATTTCAGGTTTTGTTTTTGAGCAATAACTCCTTGTGCTTTGGTGATAATATCTTTATTGCAGATTAGGTGCCACACCATTAATGGAGCTAATGATTGCATCTGGGAAGGCTATTCCACAATTACAGCTCGAACATGGACTTGCTGTGGATAGAGTGTACACGGGATCCTTCATGACCTCTCTCGATATGGCAGGTTAGTTTTTGGAAGAAAATTTGTTTCTTTTTCATATGAATCAAATAGATATAATGTTAGCAATATTCACAGTTTGCTTACATATGCTCAACAGGGTTCTCAATTTCTGTTATGAAGGCAGATTACTCCATTTTGCAGCGTCTGGATGCCCCAACTAAGGCTCCATGCTGGCCTGTTGGTGCTGATGGTAAGATGTTGTGATATTCTATAGTGTGTTTTTTTTTCAATATACTCATTGGCAAATTGATAGGCTTTCTTTTATTGTGGAGTAGGATGAACACATTTTTTTTGGCTGCACTATAGATATACAACATTCACTCTTAATATTGAACTTCTATTCAAGATCTACTCTCAATTTTTACAACTGGGCCTATTAATTTGAATGATTATTGGGTTGGTTTTGGTTGCAGGAAATCATCCACCTACAAAAATTCCTGTTCCAGTACCTCCATCTCGATTGCACCACGATGAGGTATGGCTTGATTAACGTCCTTAAATATATTGGATCTATGTTTCGCATCATTTTTTTTGTAATATAAATTTGTTGGGAGGTGTATCCGCTTGCCCAAGTGAGTTTATATTCTGCCTACATACTCAATCACTTGACCCCATATTTGCATACTGTTTGTGATACAATTAGGCTCTTAAATATTGTACTTTTGGTTTATGTAAATCATATCTTGCCAGTAATGATGTCTATTCCTATTTCCCCTGGATGGTTTTTTATTTTAGACAAATCCAGAATCAAACCAGAAAATACATGATATGTGTTTGGGAATCTCTCTCCCACTAGATGTAAAAAATATTGTAGACTTTCGAGGCAGATTGGTTTCTCTGTATGCCTTAAATAGAAAAATCACCCAATAAGACCACCCCCCCCCCTCCAAAAAATAAAAACGCAGAAGTTTTATATTTTGGATAGCCCGTTGGTGGATTGAAACTTTGGATGTTGTATTGTGACCCCTAAACAATCTGAAAGTGGCTTTGCATTTCAAATAAAATGCTTTCTATGAGTTTTCTTAATGGAAACTATGCAGCCACATAGCAAAACAATAGAAGCTCTACATGATTTCTTTTTTATCAACCCAAATCCCAAGGCTTTCTCTAGGAGTCCTCTTAGTTTTATTTTATCAGCCATGAGCCTTTCCATATTAGAGCTCCTCCTTTTGGAACCTTAACATCAATTGGGCTTTGGTCCAATGGTAAGGCACCTATTTTGTATGACTATGATCAGGGGTGTGAAATGTGAATACTTGAAATTTGTTCCAGAAAACCAAACCTTATCATCATCATCATCAGAAGAAGAACCGTATCCCAACTATTTGGGGTCCACTACACAAATCTCGTTCCGCCATTCTGCTCTACTAAGGGCCATACCCTCAATAAGACCATGAGGCCCCATACCTTTTATCGCTACTTTCATCTATGTCCTTTTAGAGCCTTTTACTTGAACTAAATCGTACCTCTTAACTGGTGTTGTATTGGGTCTGCGCTATTCATAACCAACCGACTTAAGTCTACTTTCCCTCATCTTTTCGCCTATTGGAGCCACCCCTAAGTTCCCTCGAATATATTCATTTCGAATTCTATCCTTTCTTGTTTTGCCACTCAATCATCTCAACATTCTCATCTCTGCTACTCTCATCCTGTGGGTATATTATTTCTTCACTGTCCAACATTCTGTCAACTGTCTTGTAGAACTTCCCTTTTAGCTTCTTTGGCATGTGGCGATCACATAAACTTCAGTTGCACATTTCCACCTCTCCCACCCAACTCTAATTCTATGTGCCATCAATCTTAATTATTAGATTATTGACCCAAGACATTGAAAATACTCTTTTTTAGGTATTTCTTGGCCATCAATCTTAATTACTTTCTCATTTCTACTCCTGTTATTATTAAACTTGACATATATCCTGTTTTAATCCAGTTAATTTTAAAACCTCTAAAACCTAGAGCCTCCAAAGTTCTAACTTTGCATTGGTGCCACTTCTAGTCTCATCGATCAAAACTATGTCATCCGCAAACAACATACACAATGGTATCTCATCTTGTAGATGCCTAGTTAACTCCTCCATAACTAAAACAAAGCGATATAGGCTCAGTGACTCCTGATGCATGCCTATTGTCATTGAAAACTCACTTGTATCTACACTAGTTGTCTGCACACTAGTTGGCACTCTCTTGTACATATCTCTCACCATATCAATGTAGAGTCTGGAGACTCTTTTATTTTTCAACCCTTACCCCCCCCCCCCCCCCCACCAATTAAATCCCTAGATACCTTATGGTAAGCTTTCCTTAAATCAATAAAGGCCACGTGGAGTTCTCCCTTCTCTCTGAACTTCTCAACCAATTGCTAAATAGGAAAATGGCCTCAATTATTGACAGAAAATCAAACCATGTCAGTGTAGTCACCCCTCCTAGAAATTCTGGCTGATAGAATTCGCAGAAGCCTTAGTTCTGAGTCCTAAGAACCACAGTAAGTCTAGTGAACCATAGTGGACCTAGACCCCTTAGAATTGTCCCAAAGTCATCCAAAACTTAACCCAAGTGATGGTAGACTCCAATAGCTATCCAATGGTCGAAGAATTACTGAAAATTGACTTGCCATTCAAAAGTTATGGCTTGGGGAAAAATTGTTCAGAGAAATGCCAACGGGGACCCCTTTGTGCGACATGTGGCCACTCGCGCAGCCCGTGGGCTTGCATGAGCCGCTGTGTGTCACGCAGGCCCATTGGGCCTAGAGGAGGTTATAGAAGCTTCCAGAAGCCTTGGATGGTTCTGGTGACAAATTTTTGGATTAGATAAGGTTGATTTTTGACGATTTTACTCTTATACCAGTTACATTAGGACTCTTAAGATTTATCCTAGAAACTTCAATCTTGTCGCTATCCTAGCCTATATAAAACCCCCTCAAAATTACCAGAATAAATCCCATAAAATCTTAGAAATTCGTCCAAAAATCCCCTAAAAATATAGAAAATCCTAGAGTTTCCCAAAAATCTTAGGAAAACTTTCAGAAATCCCCAAAAATCTAGAAAAATAGTTGAAATTCATAGAAAATGCTAGGTGTCCTAGAAACCCTAGAAACACCTACAAAACTAGAAACCTTTAGGTAAACCCTAGATCTAGGAACCCTAGAAATTTTAGAAACCCTAGAACTTAGGCTGGCTTTGACCACTAGTCTTAACTACCTCATTTCTAATCCTTTTGTTACTAAACTTGCATTTTATATATTCTTTCTTAGTCTAACTAATTTTAAAATCTTTATATTCTTGAGCATCCCTCCAACATTCCAATTTTTGTTGTGCCACCTCTTTTCTCATCGATCAAATGATAGTCCTGAAAATTATATTGCCTTATTTGTGCTTCAAATCATCATTATCATCATCAACAACAACAAAGCATTTTCCCAACTAATTAGGTCGGCTACATGAATCTTGGTCCGTCATTCTGCTGTATTAAGGGTGTGTTTGATTGAATTAAAGTTCTTCTCCCGAAGAAGTACCTTTCCAATACTGTAGCACTTATGTGTCTGATGTGTGTGGAATGCTGTAGTAGAAGGGACACGAACATTCCTCAAATGTTCCTATTATTTGTTGAAAGAGGGAAGGTTCATTTCCATGGAAAACCACAAAAGATAAACTTTCTGAAGGTTTTTCCGATAGAATACCCCGGATGAAACGCTGCCTCTTTTCTCTCCGGCGTTGAAGCCCCAGCCGCCCGAGCTTCCCTTCCTGGTCCTCCCAGCTCATGCAGACCCTAGCCACCCTAGCTTCTCCGTGCTCATGCCAAACCGTAACGGGGCATGTCTCTCTCTCATCTAGTCTCTTGTTCGCTTTCTCCCTCTACTCTCTCTATCCATCTCTCCTCTATAGAAAAGCAGGAGGAGCGGGCATTAGGGTTTCATTTTACTTTTCTGGTTCTCTAGGGTTTGGATTCCTTTTTGCCTGATTTTGGGGGCGTTTGAAAGGCTTCTCTCCACTGCCCTGTGAGTTTTTGTGCTGAGAAATTATGGGCTTTCTTTGATTTTTGATTGTTTTCTGGTTTTCCCGAGGTGGGTTTCCTCTTGGTGTTGATTTCTCTCTCAAGGTTTATCTTATGCTTGTTCTTGGTGGTTGAAAATTGGAATTTTTGGGGTGTTTTTATTCTCACAGTTCATGTTCTTTGGTTGGATTTTTCTCCTATGTTTTTTGTTCTATTGGGTTTCTTTTTGGTTCTTGTTTTGGAAATAGGTCATGCGTTTGGAGGTGGTTCATGCCTCGTTCTTGTTGGTCTTCAGGGTTTGATTCGGCTTTTTGCATTAAGGCTTTTCACAATTTTTTATTTTTCATTGAGTTTTCAATTTGGTTTTTTTTGGTTTGTATCGTCAGAGTTGATCTCCCTCTTTCTCTCTTCTTCAATTTTGAGGTCTGTAGAAAGCTCCATTGATTAGGGTTCCTTTCATGGCAATTGGTTGTTTCTTGGTAAAAATCAAGAAAGTGTTTAGCAAAATAGTTTCTTTGAGATTTGGGGGAAGGAAGGCTGAGTGTTTTGTTTCATAAGGTGCCATTTAAAATCAACAGGAAATCCTGTGTTTTTTCCCCTCTTTTTACAGAGGAAGCCATGTATAAAAAATGTTACAAGGCCCAGGTACTTACAGTGTGCCAAAGCAATCTTCTTGGTGTCCTTTGTGGTAAAGGCTCTGATAAGGAGAACCAAGAGAATGCAGAATATCACCTTGTCTATCCATTCCTAGGACTTGTTTCTTCAGGCTGTTCAGAGGTCAGTTGCTCTCTCTGTCTCTAGTAATGTTATCTTAGCCTCAATTGAATTCTTGTTAGTGTCTCATGTAGCTAGCAAATTTTGATTGAATTTGTATGAGCTTCTTATACCTATTTCTGCGAGCATTTGGGACCTCTCTCTCTTTCTCTGACTCACTCTCTCTCTGCCAACTTCTTTCAAGGATTCTGATTTCAATTTGCTAGCATCATTGTCTATATCTACATTGTTGTTTGATAGTAATGCATGCTTATGTTTTGAATTTTGATTTGTACCTTTCCTAGTTTCCTTTTAAGTGAGTTCTTCGCTGTTGAGTAAATTTTTCTTCGTTTTCTGTGGATCAAATTGAATGCAGGTTCAGATAATTACTAATCCCTCGACCAAAAATATTTTCGGATTTTAATTTTGTTTACTTGCAAAGGGAGCAGTCTTTCCATAAAGATGCAGTTGGGCCTCTGGTTTTGGAGGACGTCAATATATCCCCAGCTGATGCCATAAGAAATCACTTAGCTCAATTTCAATAATTTCGGTTTCTCCTTAAAAATTGCTCCATTACATTTGATTTATGATGGATGTACTAGTTGATTTGGCGATTCATTTCATTAGGACCTCTTCAAATTGCTATCCTACAACTCCTTTTGGAGCATAGTCGAATTTTTTTAATGGTTCATGACAATTTTTGAGAAAGAACCCAAAACTTCCTTAACA